TTTTTTGGTTCTTGAGAATCCCGCTGTTAATACTGAATAAACTATACATCAAGTCAATTTGTTTGTACAGGCAGCTCTGCGTCCAGACAGCAGCATGGCTCTTCATGCGTTACACACACCTGGACACAGCTCCAATAGAGGTAACTGTAAGCTCGGTTTACTCTTCACGTTAAACGGCGGACGAGCAACACCAAAAAACATGTTTTTTTGGGCTCTTTGCTCCACGCCCGACGCGACCGTTGTTCCTCTCGACAAAGCGAGCTTACAGCCCTCTACCTTGGGTTTACAGCTATACCACACAACAAACCGCATCCGAATCGCATCAGCCAACCACGAGATCTACTTGTCTGAAAACGGCCCCTCCAGTGGGGCTGCAGTGCCCACACCAGCAGACCCTCCCAAAAAAAAATCGAGGTCCGCGCCGTTCGGCAGCAGGAGGCGCGCTGCGCGAAAGCTGAATCAACACAAAACGAAGTTTGAANCAGCAGAAGATAACACGCTGCGCGCTATCGAACGCGGCAGCCTCACCGTCGTAGAGAGAACGCTGAAGGAAACGAAGGAGGAGTTGGTCAAAAGTAAGAAAATGTGGAAAGAGAGCCAGGCTAACCTCGCTGCCGCCGCCGCCGCCGCCGCTGCTGCTGCTGCTGCTGTTTTTTTCAGCAGCAGCAGCGGCGGCGGCAGGTGTCTGCGTGGCTTCACCGCCCGGCTGCTGCTCGGGTGTGTCATGAGGCATGTGTTCTAGAGTGGGACCGCGCAATGGTGTTGCGCTGTGCCACATAGCAGGGGCGCAAAGCACACAGGCGGGCCGCGCCCTCGCGCGTGTGCGTCAGAGGGTCTTTTCGGGAGGTTCCGACGGTTTCGTGCAATTTCATTGGTTGGTCGATTTTCCATCAGCAAGATCCGAGGACGCTTTTTCGAATTTTTTCCTATAGGAAATTTTCCGCTTTGACACCCCTAACTGTCTCTGGAAGTGAAAGCACCAGAAAAAAAAAAAGTCATCCGCAGCTGTCATCCGCACGCAATGAAGTAAGCACATGATGCCGAAAACCCTTAGCATGATGCCGTGCACCCTTCATGCGACTCGCCGAATACCTCAATACCTCTCGGCGCTTCGCGCTTGGTGATGTGAGAGCCTGGCCCTGTGAGAACTTGGCGTGCTCCGTCCCGGCTTTGAAGAAATGCGAGGTCAATGGTCTAACGACACGGCATTCACGACCATGCGTATCGCCCCCCCCTTCCCCCCTCCCCCCGATCCCTCAACATCATCCTTTAGAGCTGAACCGCACCTCAACATCGCCCTCCCGGAGAAGGAGCTCCAGCGCGAAGGCGACCGCCTCGGCCTCCCTCAAGTTGCAGTATGACGTGCCCAGGGCCGCGGAAGCGAAGCTGCCCCCCTGCACGGCCGCCTCGGTGCCCCCGCGGCTCTCCAGCTGGCCTCTCTTAGCGCCGCCTACGCCGGCGTTTGACTCCCCTGAAGCGGTGTGGGTTGTCACCGGTAGGGGAAGAGAGCAACACAAAAACTCTTCGCTTACAAGTGATTCCTCCGGACTGGGCTCATGAGGGCATAGTGTCATCAAGGGGTGATGATACAGGATGACAACAAAAGCAGGCAGAAGCAGCTGTCCACTGGCGGTCAGCTACCAGTTGGTTGCGACGTTTCCCAAGCTCAGCAGCTCACACTGCTGACGGGTTCGAAGGGCTCAGCGACCGTCAACGAATCAACAAAGAAAATGAACAAATCCGCCCACATTACAGTCTCATCCATCCCTGCCCCTTTATCGGTAGAAGAGATGGATTTGTTGTGCTTTCGAAAAAAAAAAATGCAAGGGGGCGCCTTTCTCCTTCTGCGCAAGAATGGAGCCAAAGGTTGGCATGTGTGTGCCACACGAGGGCCCACAGACAAAGCCCAGAAACACCGAGCAGATACTAACGCTTCTCCCTCTCACCCCCGCTCTCGCTGACACGCACGAAGGCCACGGGGCCAGACGCGGCAGGCCAAGGGAACCCGGCCGGAATGAGTCTGTCTGACGCGCGTATCCCCGTCGTGACTTGTCCGTCGTAGAAGTGGAGAGAC